GAAGGAAGGAAACAAGCCCCAGAAGGATATTCTGTATTATTTTATATTATTACATTATTCAAGGAGTTGAGTAATAGAGAAATTATTTACTCCTATTATACAGTCCTATCATATGCCTGAATAAATAAAATGGTGAATTAAAAACCTCTAAATAATGCTATTATCTTATATTTACTCAGCATATTCCGTCTTTAAGACACTTTCATACTTTTTTCTCACTCTCTGTGAGGGAGGGAAAAAGACAGCTCCTATAATCCCCATTTTATAGAAGAGAAAACGGAATCTAATTTAACAAAATTGACTAATTTAACCAGGATCACACAATGACAAGTGGAAGATTCAGGTATTCTAAGAAAGAGTTTGGAATCTTTTTTTATTACCTCCTGAATCTTTTTCATATATTTAAAATTTTTCTTAATATTTAGAACAATTAAGACCTGAAATAATAAAGTGCCATTATACTAACCTGTAGACTGGATTTTGAATTCAAAGTAGCTTTTGTTTTGATGTAAAGGTGCACTGGCTAAACAACCTCCTGTTCCACATATTCTTCTTCCATTTTTTACAATGACAACATCTGTTCCTAAACAAAAAATGCAGACACTATATAAAGTTTTATATTTTCATATTCAACAACTAGGGTTAATTCATTCACTTCTAACACTTAGTTCACAAAAAATAGGGATGTTATAAGTACTTTGAAATACAGGAATACTGATCAATAACTTTAAGTATTTAATTCACTGTTTAAAATACTTAATTCACTGTTTTATTATATAGAGAACATTTCTATATAATATTCATTTGTAGCTATAAGTCTTGATTAATTAAGTTGTTTCAAATAAACTATAATAACTTTGTATTATGCTGAATATTTAAAATACTTGTAAGGAAGAAATAGACTAACTCATTTAGTTTTTAGCCAATAAACAAATTGGATAATTTCATAAATCTTTTAAAGACATAAACACAAGAAGGCTTAGTAAATTAGTGCAATTTTTAATTCATTCTATCCAGGTGAATTAAATCTACTAATACCAATGGAACGTCTACTAAGAACAAGACACTACACTAATGCATCAGTCAAGTAAGCATTGAATAGTACACAGAATATGGAAAGGAACACATATCCTTGTTGAAACAGCTGACACTGAAAAATGTCCCTTTTAGGATCTCCCGCCCCCACTTTTAGGATCTTAAAAGGTTTGTTTAGCTAGCTACTGTCCATCACATGGCTATATGTAAACAGGTTTTAACATCAGTAAACACTCTTTCTTCTCACTGAAAATTTTAGTTTCAGCTCAGATAATATTTATAGATGAGAGAAAGAAAAATGCCATCCTCATATGTGACTCTACTACGGATTTGTTTCCAAACCTTGGTTTAGGAAAGCATGTATATCAAAGAAAATTAAGAGACAACATAAGACTAACATGTAATAAATATCCTTTAATACAAAGGGATGTGAGTCCCAAAGCCTGTGGCCAATATTGCCATCTCACTGGCAAAAAGTGCATAAAACAAAGCATATCTAGATATCAGAACAGTGTGAGATTCATCCAGAAGTGTTAAATAAAACTACCGAACAGTTTTAGAAGGCTGAATTCATATTTAAAGAAAAAACTATTTGGCATAAACACGTAAGAGAAATGCAAAAAAAATTAGATTCTATCATTCTCTCTCTTAAGGTTAACACTTAGATTCTATCATGATTATTAAACATACATTAACATCTAGTATTTTATAATTAAAAATGTTAAAACCAAATTCTGAGAAAGAATCATAAATAATTTGTATCTGGCTACCCTACATACTTTTTCTTTTTTGGTACCAGGGATAGAACCCAGGGGTGCTCAACCATTGAGCCACATCTCCAGCCCTTTTCACCTTTTATTTTTTGAGACAGGGCCTTGCTAAGCTTCTTAGAGCCTTGCTAAGTTGTTGAGGCTGGTTTTGAACTCGCTATCCTCCGGCTTCTGCTTCCCAAGTCATTGGGATTACAAGAGCGTACCACAGCACCTAGCTACTCTACATACCTCTGTAGTTGCAACTGGAGAGCATTCTCCCTGAGGGCAAAGACCCTGCAGTGTTTGGCATCTAGTGGACGCTCAGCAAATTTGTTCAATGAATAAATAAATAAGCTGTGCTAAGTAAGCACTTTGTAGAGGACATGTAGCATCTGCTTTCCCTTTCTGGATATACTTCCCCCTGGGATCAAACAATTCCAAGGAAGATGATTCAATCGCTGACTTCAGGGTACAGCATTTGAGCTAGGTTAAGTCAATCAGTAAAATCCAAATTTCATGGTTACAGTGATAAATCAAGAGTGGTCATGTGATATAACAAAAAACAATTAGAGACTAAGTGTGAGGATTTTTGCAGAGAAGCATGAAAATAAAGACACTTTCATTCATCCAGGCCACAGCTACTCTGGAGGCTGAAGGAGATGGATCACAAGTTCAAGGCTAGCCACAGCAACTTAGGGAGACCCTGGTCTCAAAATAAAAAGTAAAAGAACTGGAGATATAGATCAGTGGTAGAGTGCCCCCCAGGGTCAATACCCATTACCTCAAAAACAAAACAAAAAAAGTCACTCTCATTCTTTTTATATCTGAATGAGGAAGCCTACAGCCCAGGCAGCTGCTTCAAGGGTTCTTGGAAGTTAGTCTTCAGGAATAACAGAAGACAGAGGAAAGAAATGAAAAGAAACCAAGTTGTTGGTAGCGCTGAGTCTTTCCTGAAGCCAGGGCTCCCTTTGTACTTTTCAATTACAAGTACTAATAAATTTCCTTCACTATTTAAACAATTCTGAGTTGTTTTTTTTCACTACCGGCAACTGAAAGCATCCTTATAAAACATATTTCCAAAGATTATACAAACAAATGGTAAATTCCTTTTCTTAACTGGCAGTGAGTGGTCTGTGGTTCTCCCACAATACTAAAACCTTTTAATAACCAGATTCTATAATAGATAACTTATTGTCTTGGATTTCATCCTTGCTAAGTTAATAGAAATACAAGACTTTCAAAACAATATAGTCTGCCAGGTGTTGGTGGTGCTTGCCTGTAATTCCAGCAGTTTGGGAGATTAAGGCAGAAGATCCTAGGTTTGAAACCAGCCTCAGCAACTAAGGGAGGCTCTATCAACTTAGCAAGATTCTTATCTCAAAATAAAAAAATAAAATAAAAATAAAAAAAATAAAAGCAGTTCAGTGATTAAGTGCCCTTGGGTTCAATCCCTGGTACCAAAACAAAACTAAATAAAATAATATAGTCTGCTCTCAGGGTTGAAATCACAGAAACAACTCTAAACATGGTATTCTCTTATTTCAATATTATTTTTTCTGGGCTGGGGCTGTGGGTTCAGTGGTAGATCGCTTGTCTGGCATGTGTGAGGCACTGGGTTCAATCCCCAGCACCATATAAAAATGAAATAAAAGTACTGTGTTCACCTACAAATAAGAAAAATACATATTTAAAAAATAATTTTTATCTCCACAGCATTCTGTTAGGCACTGAGATGTTTTATACAGAAAAATGAGTATGTTCAGAGAACATTCTGGGCTGTTTGTGAATCACTGGGGAATCATTTTAAGCTTATTCCATTTCTCCTTACTAAGTAAAAAGATATTCTGTATTTGGATCTATGTGATATGTGTAGTTTTGGAAAGTCAAGTCCAGAATATCAAAGAAATTTGATATTAAATATCAAATTTAAATATCAAACGGCCACAGAGAATGTTTTAGAAACATTAGAAATTTACCAAGCATGTAACATTCCCTTATAAGTAGTAGCCATGGGAGACATTGATTTCTAAAAAGTCAATCATAATTAAAAGCAGCAAATAAGGCATCAAAGAAGACATTCACAAAAACTATGCCACAGAAATTCCAAAAGAGGAACATCATCAAAATAAGTGACTACTCTAAAGGAGGTATCATTTAGATATGATATGTAATAGACTATTTAAAAAAAAATCAAAGCCAGGCAGTGAGTGGCATGTGGGAGGCTGAGGTGGGAGGATCACTTGAGCCCAGATCAGCCTGAGCAACAAAACATGACCCCACTTGCAGGGGGTGGTTAGCCATCACATTCTTTAGGTTATCTATATAACATATCCAAGTACATGCATATTGGCTCATATTTTCAAATGAAGATCAACATGTGCTTGAAACTCTAATTTTTTTCAAGTTCTCAAATCAGGCTTCTTTGGGATTAGAGAACTTGAATTTACTAAAGACAGGTAAAGAAAAAACTTCCATGCACATAGAAAATCTGATGATGGGATCACTCTACTATATTTGTAGCTTAAAAGGGCTGAGCAGTATTGGGGAAGGCAAACAGTGGAATGAGTATAACCTGTTTCTCCTACATAAGACATAGGCCATAAAAAAAGGAATGTTCTAGAGTACATTGCTGAGATTCAAAAGTCTGAGGAGGAAGAAGTGCTAAGGCTGCTTTAAGTTCCAGAAGCAATATATGGTTGCCCTTTACTGTATCCCCAACAGTTAAAACAATGTCTGCCACTTGTCATAAAATAAACATCACTTCAGTAAATCAATAAGTGAAATGGAAATGTTTTCAGACAGGATCTGAATATCCACTGACTATAAATACATTTATAAATAACAGATATTCATTTATATAATGAGGTTCTGCACTACATGTGAAAGATCTAAGAACTGAAAGCTCTGTAAATACCATCATACAAGGTAGTAAACAATTATCACATATAGTATGTGCTATCGAAATATAATGGAAAACGGTTCCAGAATTATAAAGAATCTGAGCAATAGAGTTGTGTTATACATACTAAGAACTCTTCTTCATTATTTGTCTTTGTTATACAATGTACTTTACACATGAGACATAGGAAAAATTGAAAGGGCAGAAGTATATTTAGACTAAAATAATTCATATTATTGTAGCTTAAAGGGGGGGGCTGGGCAGCGTTGATTTTAGTATCCTAACTAAAATCATCATATTGGGAAATCTCTCTTGCTTGAACCATATATTCTAGACTATACGGAGTAGTAGGTGGTAAAAGAGGCTACGTAGGGGAGAGGAAAAATGTTAGATGAGAACTTGGGGGGGGGACGACACTAAAGCGATGGAGCAAAGTGCTGATTTATTTTGCAATAGCCTAACCTTTTTGGATGACGCCAGTTAGATAAAATTACAGTGCTTCCAACAGTGACTAAGGGAGAATCTAGCAACGGGAGCTTTTAGTCGAAATAGCATGTTCTGACCTGAGGTGCGACTTCAGGCTTCTGCAATCTGCCTTGTTTTGACTTTGGGAAGTGAGGGTGGAATTGCTTCCAAAAAACCCCAAGCTTCATCCTATACGTGATGGGGCTAAAGTGAAACAACCGATTGTCAGGGCAGAAGACCCTAATGCATTCCGAAAGTGTGCGAGTCCTGAGAGGCGCGCCACACGCGAACGCTGTGAGGGCGCCTCGGCTCCCCTCGCCAGGGGACACCTGACACCTCAGCAGGAGGCAACTCACGGAGCAGGTCAACACACTCACTCCCGACGCCAGCCAGGGAAGGCTGCGCAGCCTTGAACACAGCCCGGCCCGATGGAGGCGGCCAGCGACAGGCGAACTCCGCGAGACTAGAGAGAGGGTGCCGCGGCAGCGAAGCCGGGCGAGGCGGGGTCGGAAGGCTGGGCGACGCGTGGTCCCTCCGACCCCCGCCTTGCCTCCCGCCCGCCGCCCCCAGCCTGGGGCCGTTGGGTATGGGAAAGCGAGGGCCCTTACCCATGTGCTGCGTGTCCAGCTGCACAGCCGGCATCTCCTTCAGAGGGATGTGGCCCGTCCCGCCGTCTCTGCAGCATCGCAGGCAGCACAAAACCGAAGCGGCCATCGCGCAAGGACCACCGCTCCGTCGCCGCCACCGCCCCTATACCGCGACGACACCGCCCCTCACCGTGCCGCCCCGCCTTCTGTCCCCGCCCGAGCGCAAGCGGCGTGTGGGGCGCAGAAGCTGGCACAGCGACGCCCCTGGCCGGGAGGCGCAGCGCAGGCTGATGCTAGCCGGGCCTGGAAGGAGTGGAGGATAGGCGGGCTGGGCCGGGAAGGTGGGCGGAGTTAGCGGCGTGAATGGATGGAAGAGGGCGTGGCGGGCGGGCGGGAGGCGGTGTGCGCCTGCGCATCGGGTGGTTTTCTTACCCGGCTTGGGCGGCTGCAGCCCACCCCTAACGTTGACCGGTGAGGCTGTCCCTCTGCACTGTCGCGGTTTCTTGCATGAGTTTTTTTTTTTTTTTCTTTTTTTTTTTTTTTTTTTTTTTTTTTTTTTTTTTTTTTTTTTTTTTTTTTTTTTTTTTTTAAAGATGGGGTCTTGCTGTATTTCCAGACTGGTCTTGAATTCTTAGGTTCCCGCGATCCTCCTGCCTCAGTCTCCTGTGTAGCTGGGACTATAGGCGCGCGCTCTCCGCCGGGTTGGATGTCATGTTTTTAAAACTGTGCCCTTTTGCTCCACCATTATATAACGCGCGGATTGACAGAAGCAGGCCAGGAGTATGGGGAGCTATTCAGAGTGACCTCTGAGGTTTCCCTTGTTCACCCAGGCCTGAGCAAGCTGTGCCTCCTAGGAGAGTCTATGTACTTCTCCAGGGGTTGGTTTCTGAAGAATTTCCGAATATGCTAACTGACCCACACGGGTGCCAGGAGAAAATGTCTTTTGGTGATTGCACTGTGGAGTACAAGCGGGGCTTCGCTGCATTTTAGGTACAGAGACGTACACGTATATTCCCTGTCCGTTGGTGCTGCGTGATCCGGGGCGCCCTAGGAGAGGACCCAGTGGTCGCTGCGGGAGGGCGACTCTTGACGGGTCTCTTCCAAGCACAGGTGCATTGAGGATTCCAAGTGAAGTGAATCCTGGAAGCTGTGGGAAGGCTACTTGGATCCCTATGGAACCCCTATGTACCTACTGTCGCTCGTTCTACTCCTTTTTTAAAAAAATTAATTAATTTATCTTGCTTAGGTATATATGACAGAAGAATGCATTTTGATTCATTTTACACAAATGCAGCACAACTTTTCATTTCTCTGGTTGTATGCCACGTAGAGTCCTACCATATGTGTACTGTACTTCATATGTGTACCTGTACTTCAGGTAATGATGTCCATCTCATTCCACCATCTTTCCTGCTCCCATACCCCCTGCTCCCATGTCCCCTCCCTGTCCCTCTCTCCCCTTTGCCAATCACAGTTCCTCCATTTTTTTTCCCCATTCTCCTCCACCCCATTATGGATCAGCATCCACTTTTCTTCCAAGTAGAAGGCCACGTGGCTGTTACTTGTCATCTCCTTCCCCCTTAGACCATTCTTCTATGGTAGATTTTACACCTTCATATACCATAAAAACCACTAAAGAAAATCCTGAGCATGATGATGAACTACACTCTGATATACCACTTGGCGTCTGGAGATGATCTGGGAAGGCCTCTAGAATTAACTGAGCTCAAATATCTATTCCCAGATCATGTTTCCATCCTGAAGGCCTCCCTGGGGCTCATCCAAGACCTAGGCAAGGAACAGCACATAAATTTCCATTACTTAAGTAATGGATAACTGTACATAACTTTTTAGTCACCTGAGTACAAATATCCTTTATGGAGGATTTTTATCCATTGAATAAGGAAAATTTTCAGGCCCCTGAGTCTGTTTTCTCCATATAAAAATGATGTTTTCGTTACAGTACTAAGGAAAATTTCCCAAGTTTTGTACTTTGAGGTTTAGTTCCCATAGGATTAATTGCCAAACAGATTGAGGGTTCTCTCTCCACCCCAACACTCTGCCTATGAAGTATGTTTCTTGGTAATCATTTTACACATGAATTTTTCTTTTCCTGAAAAACTTGACCTTTCTAGATATTTAGTGATACAGTTTTTTTTTTTCTTCTTCCAGGAGAGAAGGGTACTTCATAGAATGTTGGAGATGTTTCTGCCTTTGTACTAGGAGGTAGGCAGTCTTTCACATATTTATCTAACTGAATTTTTGCAAGTTTTGAAGATCAGTACTATCCTTATTTTATAGTTGAAGAAATAGGCTTAGAGGAATTAAATAACTTATGCATCTTCAGATGAGTGAGAAATATACCAGGTAGGATTCAGAACTCAGTAGCCTGACTCCTAAGCCTTTGTTCCATCAAATAATGCTGCCTCTCAAATTCTCAAGTTCTAACTTGTAAATCTCCATGCTCCATAAAACAGTCATCACTTGTATATAGACAATATATAAAACAAAATTAGTTGTAAGGTAAAAATTTTTGTTTGGAACTTTTATTAAAAGTAGTATATACATTAAGTAGGTAATAAACATTTAGGCCATTCAGGTCAGTAACATCTTCAGTGAAAAACCAGAATAATAGATGGCTGTGAATTAGCCCTTAACATAGAGAGGCAGAAGTGCCATAGTCTTTTCTGTCTGGAAAAGTAATTTGCCCACTGCACTTTGCCCTCCTGTCCCAAGTCAAGTGTACTCAGCAGAATAAAGCAAGCAAAACCGGTTAGCTCCTGAAACAGATTCCCTGTCTTGGCAGATGAATGCCATCTGTGAGCTCATGGACTTTTTTCTTCTTATGTCTGGGATTCTATTATCCTCTTTTTATTACTTTCAAATAGTTATCCTTTCTCTTTGAAAAGCACAGTATTGGGCTGGGTTTGTGGCTCAGTGGTAGAGCACTCCCCTAGCACATGGGAGGCCCTGGGTTCGATCCTCAGCACCCCATAAAAATAAATAAATGAAATAAGATGATATTGTGTCCAATTAAAAAATAAATATTTAAAAAAAGAAAAGCACAGTGTTAAAAATATTTTCACAGTCTTTCACAGCTAACACTTTAAATAATAATCATGAATCCCTACAAAATGTTTCTTAATAGTTAGAATGCTGTTTATCTAAGTCAAAAGCAATAACAAAGAATCACTACTGGGGGAGAAAAGTCTTGCTTAGGTGACATATGCCAGGAACTGGAGAACTGATAGGACAATAATGTAAAGCATGTATTTTATAGTGTAGTTTATCATCATGCTCAAGATTATTTTTAGTGTTTTTTATGGCAGGCAGACATCTCCTACTCACACTCTGTACTGGTTCATACAAAGTGGTTTCTTTCTTAAGAACTTATTAATCAGTTATTAGGTCAAACATTTTTTCTTATTGTAATCTAAATCACATTTTCAGGTGCCTTAAAATCATAAACATTACAAATGACTTTCTAAAACATGATCTAGTCATTATTATAAATTGGAGTAATATAACTGACATTTATGTAGTGCTTTCTATTGCCAGGCACTGATCTAAGTGCTTTGTATAATCTAATTTAATCCTTGTAACGACTTTGTGAGGGAAAAGCTATCCTTCACTTTATAGAAAAGGAAACTGAAACAAAGTAAAGATAGAAGATATACCCAAAGTCACAGTCAATGAAGAATGAAACTGAATTAAAAACAGGAGGTCTAGCTCTTAGTCTGTATTCTTTTTTTTTTTTTTTTTAATGGTGCTGGTGATTGAACCCAGGGCTTTGATGCATGCATCAACTTAGCTATATCCCTATCCCTGTATTCTTAATCACTATGCACATTATGCAAACTGCCTGGGTTGCTACATTTAAAAATAGGTTTCTAATTTTTTTTGTTTCCTTCCTTCTAATGCCTTGCCTCAGAAATTGACATGTAAATTTTTTTTTTTAGAGAACGAGAGAGAGAGAGAGAGAGAGAGAGAGAGAGAGAGAGAGAGAGAGAGAATTTTTAATATTTATTTTTTAGTTCTCGGCGGACACAACATCTTTGTTGGTATGTGGTGCTGAGGATCGAACCCGGGCTGCACACATGCCAAGCGAGCGCGCTACCGCTTGAGCCACATCCCCAGCCCTGACATGTAAATTTACCTGGGATTGACCTGGGGATGTAGCTCAGTGGTTCAGAGCACATGACCAGTATATATGAGGCCCTGCATTTAATACAACAGTACTAAAAACAAAAATAAACCAGAAAAACTGGTGTTAATTGCATACATTTAGTCTATTACTGAATAATAAAGTATGTTACCTATATTCAACAACCAAAAATAAATGAGAAAAGTAAAACAAGAACTCTATACTTCAATAGACTGCCATTAGTCAGTTTGCAGCTGTACTCTGTCAGCAGCCCCTTTGAACTGTTTGGCAAGACTGTCCTCAAAGGGTGGCTCTAAAGAAAGATAGAAAGGGTATTTAGTACTTTTAATTGCTTAGTCAGTTAAGCCAGGTAGGAGACTTGGAAAATACAGAGTTTTGGCATTAGAAAGAGAAGAGAAGATGGAATAAAGGAATTTGAAAAATAAACAATAACAACAACAAAATAAGAACAATAGAGGGTAGAGCAAAAAAAATTATATTGAAAATGAAGAGAAGCTGGGCATGGTGGTGTATATCTGTAATCCCAGTGATTTGGGAGACAGAAGCAGGAGGATCACAAGTTCAAAGCCAGCCTCAACAATTTAGGGAAGCCCAGTCTCTAAATAAAGAAATAAAAAGAGCTGGGGATGTAGCTTAGTAGTTAAGTACCCCTGGGTTCAATCCCTGGAAAAAGAAGAAGAAGAAGGAGAAGGAGAAGGAGAAGAAAGAAGGAGAAGAAAGAAGGAGAAGAAGGAAGAAGGAAGAAGGAAGAAGGAAGAAGGAAGAAGGAAGAAGAAGAAGAAGAAGAAGAAGAAGAAGAAGAAGAAGAAGAAGAAGAAACTAACAGCTAGTGCTGTATGAGGCCCAGGGAATAAAAAGTGTGTTTTACTACCAAAATTTTCAGCCAAACAACTGTTCCTGCTTCCTTCCAATGGAAGATAAAGTAGGCAGTCATCAACCAAGGGGAATTCTGCAGATCTCTGCTCAAACTCCAGTTCCCCCACTCAAAATACAGGTATCCTAGATATCTAAATATATTTTCCTCACCAATTTAGATTCCAAATACTACTGTTGC